GAGAGAGGAGGGGGGAGAGGAGAGGAGGGGGACACCAGTTCCATGTTGGTGAGCCGCAGTGTTTCTTTTAAACCGGATGTGGCCAGCAGGGCCTCAAGCTTAAGATATACCGATACAATGTAGCATCATGCTCTCTCTTAAAAAAAAAGAAACGCACTCCGACGTACCCCTCTGTACTGCCTGACACTCTCACATATGCACCACACCCATCCATTTACAAGGCACCTAACATTGCTAATCCCGAGTACCTATTAAAAAACGGACCCCAATTAAAAAAAAGTCATGCCGGATCCCCTAAATTCGGTTTATATTTGGTTTTAAATTGCCGCCCTTTCAAACCGCTACTAAACTACCAACATGGTCGATTTTGGGGGTAGTTTTTTTTTATTAGGTTCCCCAAAACTCCACCATGACACGCCGCGCTTACACCAGCAGGCTTTCCTTCCCTCAATGGCACGGACTCACGCAAACGCACTTGCCACCGAGGTCATGCAACACCGCATGGCACAGCGACATCACCTTTCGAAAGCTTTAGCTGTTAGTCTACTGAAGAATCACTATTCTAATGAAGGTTTTTGTAGGGGAAAAGGAAGACCCTTCGATCTGGCGGTTTTTTGCATTTTTGATATGAGTTTAATAAAGGATTTTATATAAAATTTTCCTGGATTACTTTTTGGTTTTGAAACTCTTTCCAGGTGACCCTATTTTGGACACCCCGATTTCAGGGACCCCCTATTAAAAAAAATGCGACCGAGGTTTCCTTATTAGGGGGGGGGGGGGGCCGTGTTTATTATTAGGGGGACGGGATTACTCACTTTGGGTCCTTCTTCGAGCTTGGCTTCAAGCTGCCTGATCCCCTTGTCGGACAGTCACTGGGGGAGAATCGAACCTGGGCATTGCGTGGTTCCCGGGGTTCTTTCCGGAGATAGGCCCAATTGAATGAACTTGGTACAAGCCCAAGTCGAGTGAACATGCCTAACTGGCATGTTAGGTAGAGTAGGGGGCCTCATCGCTTACTGGGAGCCCCCCTCACTGCCATAGAAGTCACATGCCGCTCCCAACCTCCGGAGGCGACCAGCAAACAGCGCCGACCGCGCCGCGGTCTTTTGGTCTCCGCGTGTCTTTCAAGAGGGGCCCGTACCCGCGAGACTTTTCGGGCAGGAGAACTGGCCAAGGACCGGCGTGGTTGGCAAACCCACATGTATACCCACAACAACATGGTCAACCAAAACACTCACAGCAAGATCCGTATGCCACCGTATGTCTGTTGCTGCTAAAGTCAAACATGGCCACACCCCTGCATCATTGGCCCTGCGACCCTGGCTTATGTCATAGGTTGCCGGGCATTTGGGGACGTAATGGGGCAAATCATAGCCGCTGGAGCTGCCAAGGCTTCGAAAGCGCTTCATTTTTCTTGAGTTTTCTTTGCTGTTTCTTGAGTTTTCTTTGCTGGTGCTTGTCCTCATATTTTCCAGGAATCATACCGATCTAGCTCGGACGTGCGATTTTAATTGAGGTCTCCCAGTCTCTTTCGGATTTCTGCAACGCCGCACGTCACAAAGCAAATGCTGTAGATGGCTGGATTCTAGATCAGGGGAATATATACATATATATATATATATTACGAGAGTGGCTGGTCATCATTTGCCCTGAAAACCAGAAACTGCAGCCACTGTCTTCGACAGCTTTCGCTGGGAAAACAGCGCAAGTTGGCAGCTGAGAAGGGACGGTTCTTTTTGAACAATAACTATGCCACGTTCATCTAATGTATATACTAGACTATATATATATATAATACTGTACATGTAGATTACATAATTATATGTGTGTGTGCACCCTGCACAACCAGAAACAAACACACAATGCTTTTACCCCCTGGTGGGAGCCATGTTCAGGGGAAGCTTTAAAAGCAAACCAACGTGTAACATCGTGTAACATGCATGTTTTTTGTTACTTCCGCGTGTTATTTTGTCACTTCTGCGGCTGCATCAGTTTGGTGTCATGTTTTCTATCACGAACTTGCTGCATGTTTCTGCGCCATGGTTTCTGGTGAGACGGGGAACACATATGAAAAGCATTTTTTTCAGGGTCCAGGTATGGTCCAGGTGCATTATACACATATAGCCAGTACATGCCTGAGTTTGATGACAGGTCCAACAATACACGAAAATAAAATGGGACGTTTTGATTTTCCGACCCTGAACTCTTGCCACCATGCTGCGCATCAATGATTGGCTGACACGGCTGTACCAAAAATAAGCGCGGTCGATAACGTGTGACGCGACATTGAAACACCTGAAGTATCTGGACTGCTTCCCCCAAATGGAGGTCAGCCATGATTCAATGATGTGGCATCATTGGAACCAAGCAACTACAGTATGTCTTTGATCGTTTTTGTATCATCGATATCAATTTACTATTGAACAAACCAATCACACACACACACATGCTAAGCCACAATGAAAGAATGGCAAACTATGGCAAACTAGCTGTCATTCTTTCCAGGAAATGCTGCGCCGCTCCTCATGGCGAATGGCACCCTGCAGAACGATAGGGCACGACACTGATAGTGTGCCGAAGTTCAAACAAATCATTGGATAAACAACGGTCTTCGGTCTGCGATCTGTCTTGACTACAGCATACATCAACATCGCTGATTTTCCAAAAATGGTCAGAACCTGTCTTTATTGCGCGGAAAATGAGAACAATTCTACAATGCACAGCAACAAAGTTGCGGATGAAAACCGCGAACCTTGAAGGTGCAACTCTCTTGCAACCAAAGAGGAGGCAGGCAAAAGGCAAGCACACTTGCTCCAAAGCACTCCCACTAGCTCCAAATAGCCACTTTGCAGGTTTTGTCTACAGGCTGAACAATGCCGCAACCAGCCATCTTGACCTACTGGAGATGAAGCATGAAGCATGAAGGGCGATTTCGGTGTTCCTCCCACTTTTTTGGTTTTCCAAAATGCGAAGAACACAGGCACCTCGCCATAGCTTTCCGGATCTTTCCGGCATCTGTCTAATGGCCCACCCGGCTTTTGCATGTTGGAGGGAGCTCTGCCCCATCTCCGCCCCATCTCACCTGGTCATGCTCATGCCTTTTGCCTGCCTTTTGCCTGCCTTTTGCGCTCCACAATTCATCGCTGGTCAGCTTTTCCGTGCGGATCGCCATCAGCCTGTCGGCAGAAATGGTGAGGGGAGAACTGGTCAAATGGAACCAACAGGTAGAATGTGGGAAGGGTATGCACCCTCCTTCCAACGTGGAAGTTAACCAAACAGGAACAATGTGAAGCAATCAAACAGCAACATTCTGGTTGTGATGCAGTTATCCAATCGAAGATATTGCCACTCATCCGTACTCCCACCATGTCCCACCGAAGTTTTTGCCCATGTGCTGGAGAAGGGACGGGCCCCCCCACGTGGCTGCAGGGTTTGACATCAAGGTGTTCAGCAGTTCCGAATCCAAAAACATGTTTTTTGAGACAGGGTAACTCTGGCTGGCTTGGGGGGCCCTTGAAAAAACAGCTCTCCCGGAACTTATGCGAAGAGGCTCAGCTTGGGAAGGGTCTGTGCCTTCACGCGCCTTCACTGGGCTTGGCCCCGGGCCTCAGCTAAGGTTGGGAAAAACAAAATGAAACAAAACTTGTGACTCTTCTGCGGAACTGCCCGCTGTGCGGCGTTTGGATCCTGTAGGCGACTCGGTCGGTCCAGTCGACCAGTTCGGAGCCCTCATGCTTGACATAGAACATCCTCAAAAAGAACCAAAGTTTGATCTGCAGAACTGGATGATGGGTGACCAGTACAGTACTGATCAGTACTGCCACATTGCGATGATGAAACTACTCGTGTGGAAACTTGAAGCTACAATTGTTCCTTTTTAGCTGTCAAACAAACAAACACAGAACTCCTACCAAACCTAATGACATGTTGAAATGTTACTCAAAAGGACATCACTGAAAACCTGAAACCACGAGTTCATAAAGGATTGCTTCTTATATGATTAACATTAATCTGTGCAACCTGATCGTGTCTTCCGAAGCCCGCCACTCTTCTCCGCTCTATGTCCCCACACACCACCGGCAAAAAGCTCCGCTTCATCGAGCGGCGCTCCACCTTCCCCTGCCGAAGCGGAGCGGCTCCCGGAGGCCGCCGTGGGACAGGCGGAAATCTTGACCATGCCCTAGGGCTCGTGTCCCATCTCCTCGGGTTCGGTGGTTAGATCCCCCTGGCACCCACCCCAACCACCTTCGAAACGGAGGTGGTTGGAGCCCTAGGGATGATCCTCTAGAAGGTGCGCCCAAAAATATTGTTTTTCAGGGGTGGCCTTGGTCTCCAAAGATGGCCTTGGTCCAAGTCTTGGGAAGCCTTGTGTAATCCTGCACGATGTCCCCCTCCGCCCATAGAAGTATATATAGAGTCAGTATGGCAATTTACTTCTGGCAGCCAGCTGCATCGGGTAAAAGGAAAGGGCTCTTTCCGAACAAACGGTGATCGGACGGGATATTGAAGAATCGGATGGGATCTTGAAAGATGCTTATAAGAATTCCTCCATTCATTCTCCAAATGATCCAAATGGCTAAGAACAGGTCAAACATGACCTTACCAGGTGGCCACAGTGCCACCGTGTACGGCCCACATCCGCCGTACACGAAGCGTTCGGAGCTGGTCGGATCTCATTTTCCCGGTCCTCTTCTTTGCCCCGTGTGCCCGCAGAGTGTTGGCGCCGCACCCCTCAAGCGCTCGGAGCTTGTCGAGGGAGCAGGTATTGCGAGGTTGTAGGGGGGCGTTGTTCGTGAAACCA